TGTTCATGTGGACCAGCGTTCCTCCGTTAATTGGTTCTGGTTGGAGGCTAGCTGGGAGGTCTTCTCCGTCAGTACATCCCCAGTATTCAGCTAAAGGGGTGAGAAAGGGATCCACCATGATATCTCTTGCTGAGCCACGAGTTCTGTAATCTTTTACGACTTTCAGGAAGGCGTATCCTGGTTTGCATCGATGCCCTTGATGCATACAATAGACAATAAAAAGGTCAGCCAGTGTTACCTTTCCTTGGCTCTCCTTCCGGCTATGTATGGTCCTAGCTAGCAATTTATGGCATATGCGGAGTGGAGGAGGAAAAGATGCCCCCTTCAGATGTGATGGCAGGGTATGAGTTCCAGTAACTTCTTTCCACATGTTGGTGGTAGTGAGAGCAGTGGGTTTCTCGAGATACGCAGACCTATATTCCAGTGTTCTCGTGTCTGCTCGTTGGTAGAAGCCCATTATGACATTAAAGTCATCCAGAAAAGTGATCTGGTATGCCCCGTCCATCCAATAGGAGACGGCTTGAGTAGGTGGCACTCCGGGAGTCGTGGAAGGCATCTCCACCAGATTGACAGAGGCAAGGAATTCCAGCGTAGCAGTACGGTGGATCCGAGTAGGTGGCTCACGAAGCGGAAAATCCCATCCTATGTTTTGGATGAATCTTCTAACATCTTGATCCCAGCCGAATGTAGTTAGGATTTCAAAATCCAACCGTAGCACTGGGATACCAGGAGAATTGTTGGATATTTGCCAATCTTTGTTGATGTGGTTCTCGCTAGCGAGTGTTGGTGACGGGAGTTCCTCTAGCGGAGGTCCTGGTGCGTTTTCTCCTGGATGAAGCCTCTCCACGTTCCATTGTATGTCTTACTCACTTAAGGATGCTAGAAGTGTGTAGAAAGGGAGGAGAAGCAAGATAGAATGCTTGGAATGGGGTACCAAGGCAAAGATCCGCGCCTAATCATATATAGGAGGAGCCAGGAGAGTTGGGACGGCCGTCTGGGGTTGGGATGCCCGTCTCACTTGAATTTTTACCCTTGGGACGACCGTCTGGGGAGTGGGACGGCCGTCTGACTCAAAAATTGGCCTTGAGACGGGCGTCTCAAACGTGGGACGGGCGTCCCACTTGGATTTGGCTACTTGGGACGGCCGTCTCGACCCTTGGGACGACTGTCTCGAGCTTTTCAGGTTGGTTTTCATGTTTTTTTATGAGAAGGAAGATAGGACTCCATTCATGGATGTTTTAATGCATGTAATGTTTCATGATATGCATCCTATGATCTATTTCGAGTTAATATTTCGAAAGTTTTAATTGATGTGCTTTGACTTCGGGCGCATTCTTGGTGTTGTACCTTTACTGTCATCATGTTTCTTGATCAACAAGCTTAGTTGTACCGATTTGCCATCTTGGACTTTTCTTGCTATAGCCGAAGATCAATCTTTTATTCGTAGGGCAACTGCCATATCAATGCCTCCCTTCCTTTCCTTAGGGGCTTCAACGTTCCTATTGATCACTATATTTCCACATTCCCCTTATTACTTGAATGCTTTATAGTGAAATGGTCAAGAGAATAGAAAGAAAATGATTTATAGCAAAGGCTTGTGTTTTAGAGGGATATTTTTGTAATAAAGGTTTCTATAAGAATGGCTAGCCAAGGTTGGTCGGTGTTTGGGCTAGTTTAGACAAACGTTTTGTTCTTATAATGTGGCGTCTTTGTTTACTATTTTATGGCGCCTTTTTGTGATTGATTAACTTTCCTAGCCCGCCCTTTCAGGTTTTTAGTCTAGGATGTTGTGCTTATGTCCAATGTCTAAAACCAAATATCTAACACACCACATGTCTGGTATAGTAATGGAGGCTTATTTCATGAAAGAAGGTTTTGAGAAATGTAGTTATGAGCACACTTTGTTTATTAAAAGACAAGATAGTAAAGTGATGATTGTTAGTCTTTGTTGTTTCTAGTAATGATCAGATAATGATTGTTGGATTCAAAGAATCAATAAAGTGCAAGTTCGCCATGACAGACCTTGGTATGATGCAGTATTTTCTAGGTCTTGAAGTTCTTCAAAAATCTAATGGTATTTTTATCAATCAGTATAAGTATGCATTAGAGGTGTTAAAGAGATTTTGAATGGATAAGAATAACTCGGTTCACAATTCTATTGTTCTGGTTTATAAGCTTGTGAAGGATGAAAAAGGAGTTAAAGTAGAAAAGACTCATTATAAATAGGTCATAGACAATCTTATGTATCTTACGTATACATGACTAGACATGATGTTTGTAGTAAATCTTATTAGTTGATATATGAAAAATCCTACTAAGATACACTTGTAAGTTACGAAAAGAATTGAGGTATTTTACAAGAAAGGAGGAGATAAAAAACTTGTTGCTTACACCAATAGTGATAAGTGGAAATGTAGATGACAAAAAAAAACACTTCACGAGTATGTGTTTCTTCTATCTTTAGGAGCAATGTCATAGACTTCTAAGAAGTAACCAGTGGTAAGTTTACCTTCATAAGTTTATCTATGAAGGTAGAATTATTGTTGTTACATTATGTGCATGCCAAGAAATATGACTGGTAAGGATTTTGGAAAATCTGGATAAATTGTTCCTATATTATATGATAGCAACTCAGTAAATTGTTACTGTATTTTGTAATAACAACTCAGTAATTAAATTTTAAAGGAACAGAGTTATGCATCGTCGCACTAAACATATAGATATACGTTTTCATTCTCTTGAAAATGATAAAGAATAAAAGCTTTGAACTTATTTATTACATTTCAGTTTAAGGGAGGAATTCTTCAAAATCATTAATTAAAACTTAGAAAGTTTGTTATTATTTAGTAAACAAATCCCTATTTTATGGGATATTTATTTAGTCGGTTGAGTTATTTAGAATTAGTGAGTAGGCTTTATTTCTGATATTCAAGTTGTAAGACTGTTATAAAGCCAACTTTCTCATTCAATAAACAAACAGTTTTTCTCGGAAAATTCTCTTTTCTTCTTCTCTGCACCAAAAACATGGACATCAAGTAGTTATTCGTGGTTCTCTTTTAGTTTACTCACTTCTTATATTTTATATTTTTGCTTATTAGGTGAGTGAGTCGTTCTACATATGAGAATTAAGTTTTTAATTAAAAGTTTACATCTTTTTAAAATTATTATTTGTATTATCATTATTATGTCATTAATTATCTTCAAGTTTGTTACATGTATATTTTAAATGATAAATATTACTATTATTTTAAAAATAAAATTAAATTATATTAATTATTTCTAAATGAGTGTGTTATTAATTTTTACATTCGAGTTAAATTTTATTTTATTTTAAGTTCTGATAAATCTTATTGTCTTTAAAGTGCTATTGAGATACTATTATCTTCTATTGAGATAACCAAAAAATTCATATAAGCACTTTATGAACGAAGTAAAATTATCACAAATTTCAAATCTTGGTTCTTCTAATTTCAGAAGAGACTGACAATATTTTCTTGTAGGAATAGAAAACGCACTATAACGATAAAACAGCGTTGGTTCGTAAAAAAACTTTATTAATATAAAAATAGAAACAAATTCTTTTTTATGGTAAAATAATAATAAAAAAATTATTTTTTTACTGTCCACTTTTATTCGTATATAAATATAAAAAAATGTAAAAAAATCATTTTATAAAATTATTTTTATTTAAATAAAATAAATTATTATTTATTTTAATGTTTATAATTTTAATATATATATATATATATATATATATATATATATATATTATTTTAATAAATGTCAAGAATATAAAAAATAATTATAAAAATTAAATAAATGATTTCATGTTTTTTTATCTATTTATATTATTGTTTTAAAGTATATATTATTGAATTTTTTTTATCAATATAAGATATTATTTTTAAAATTTATTTTATTAATCTAAAATTAATTTATAATTATATATAAATAATTTTATAATTAAATAAATATTCAGTTTTAATTTAATTATTTAATATGTTTTTAAAATAAACATTTTCTTTTCGTTTTATACATCATTTTTCTTTCAAATAAATAAAAAATGTTTTTCATTTTTTTCATATTTTTTTTCCTTTTCACACTTTTTTTTTGTTAAAAATATATATAATTAATATTTTCTTTTTAACTAATAAACAGTTAATATTGAAAATAATGTGTTTTATTAACAAAATTGATCATTCTCAAATTCCTTCGGCTCTAACTCTAGAGAAACATTAAATTATTACATCTTAGTTATTTTTCTCATAAACTTCTGTTTTAATTCTTAATTATTGTCTTCATTAAAACCATTAAGCAGTTGATCCAAAACATTTATTGTTGTTACTTGAAGACTGTATTGCATGCAGAGTGAAGGGAATATGTTATTTTTCTCCAAATTCTAACACTTAAATTGGGCATTGTGGCATCCATTCCAAACATAGAATCTGTTTTGCCCCTAAACAAGCTACTGCTCCATAATAAAAGCCTTAAATATTTCAGTTCAGGATCCAACTTCAAACAAACTTTTGGATCTACCCTAAACCTTAGGAGGAAAAGGAAATATGACGAGATGAATCTTTTTCCCTCATCCAAACAAACAAAATTGTTTCTCACCTTTTCCTTCATATTTCTATTCATCTCAAATACACATTACTCTATTCTATTTTCTTTCTATTTACATTTTTTGTATTTCTTTCCTTCCTACTGCACTTGTCATTCAAGCATACATTAGTATAAACCTACAACAACAAAAAAACTGAAAATAGCTCAATCCCAGCAACAAAGGCCATAATTGGCTTCAATTCCTCTCAATTTGGGTTGATGATCTTCCAATATATATCATCTCATGTCTTCTTTCTGTCAAAAGTGAGAAAGGATATAAGATTTCTGAAATGCAACTCTACATTTGACACAGACAAAGGCATTGAAACTAACCTGAACTGAATTGCATTTGTATTCGTCTTCATACAATTTGTCAACCCGAAGAAGCTTCACCAGAATTAGCCATAATCATCTTCACTTCCAACTTCATATTCATCTTCACTTCCAACTTCATATTCACCTTCACTTCCAACTTCATATTCACCTTCACTTCCAATTTCAGGATGTTTTTCTGAGTTCAATGCAAATCTCATTTCTTGGCTAACTAACTCGGCAAGATCCTTTCTGTTGCAAATTTTATAGGCGTCTATAATAGCCTTGAACAAAGACTCACTTGACTCAATCTCTCCATATTCTAATTGGCTATAAACCCGTTTAACACCTTCCACCATGCCAGCTTTTCCATAACAACCTACCAGATATATATATGTTGCAAGGTCAGGTTCCACTTGCTTATCCCGCATTTTCATATATATATTCAAGGCCTTGTTGATATCTCCAGCTGAACCATATGCATAGATTGCCACATTATAGGCAGAGGAGTCAAGTTCAACCTCAGATTCAATGAATGTTTGAGCAGATTCAAGTGCCAAAGTATGCATGCCAACTAACGAGTACAAAGCAGTGAAGGTGGCTTGGCGAGCATAAGGTTTCCCCTCCAGGTAAGATGACTCTAATTGTGCCACTGCTTCATTGGGAATCCCTCCCTTCTTTAATATAGTGAATAACACTTTAAAAGTTCCATCGTTTGGCAAAAGCTTCTGATATATCATCTCATGTACTAATTCACCACATTCATAGAATTGGCAATTGGCAGCATAACACACCAGTACCTTATTAAATGAAACACAATCCTTCAGTAAACCGGACTGTTTCATCTCCTCCGCAATCTCAATGGCTTTGTCCATCATCCCCACGTCCTTATAAAGATACATGATTGTTGCATAGGAAACTGCATCAGCTCGGCCCATTTCTCTCAAATTTTCAAATGCTAACTTGGCTTCAGAAACCAAGCCAAGATCCGCAAAGAGGCCAATCATACTATTGCATGCAACTAAATCAAGACCACCTTCCAGGTTCTTCATCCGTTCATAGATGGCTTTTGCTCCTTCCAGATTTCCATCCTTACAATAAGACTTTAGTAAGGATGTTAACACAACTAAATTCGCTGCTAATCCAGATTCTTCCATCATGTAGAAGTATCGAAGTGCCTCTTCAAGACTACCATGTTCTGCATATCCATTTATTAAAGAACCATACACAACCTCATTTGGTTTTACTCCAACTCTTATCATATCCCGGCACACGCTAACGGCATCAGAAAGCTGACCAAGGCGAGCATAACATCCAATAATAGCAGAAAACGTTTGACAAGGTGGCTTAAATCCCAATTCCTGCATTTCATGCATAAGGTCCATTGCTTGGTCCACTAAATCGCCACCAGACAACATTTGAACAAGAGAATTATACGTGCTTTCATTAGGCCAAGTCCCGTGATTTTTCATTCCCTTAAAGAGAGAAATAGCCTTGTCATAAAGTTCCGCTTTGCCATACGCTTTGATCATGACATTGCACTCTAAAACATCCCTTTTCCAACCTGCCAATTTCCTTTCTCCATAAAACATATTCTCCGCTTCCTCCCAAAGTCCTCTCTCAGCAAATATATCCATAACTGCTGCCCGAATTTTCGATGACATCTCCCCATTCATTTGAAACTTCTTCAGCAGCTCATACACTTTATCAACATCCCCCTCACAAACATACATCTCCACAATTCCCGGAAGTGAATGCTCATCAACACCCACAAAATCCCTCTCCATTTCATCAATCAAATTTTCCACATCCTGAACCATATTCTTTTTGCACAACACACCAAGAAGAGCTCGGTAAGTCACCTCATCCGGACACAAACCAGCCTCCCTAATCTTCCTGTAACAAGAAACCGCAGCATCAACATCCCCAACTTCAGCATACAAAGACAAAAAAATGTTGTAAGTCTTGGTATCCGGCGCCACCCCTTTCTCCTCCATCATCCCAAGCAAAGCCTCCGCCTCCACCAAATCACCACGACTCCCACAAATAAATATCATGGTATTAAAAGTCCAGACATCCACCGCCACACCCTCCTTCAACATCTCCTCAAAAACCTCAGCCGCATCGTTCAGCCGCCCCGCTTTCCCATACAAATCTATCAACACATTATAGGTAGAAGAGAGTCGCGGCTTCTGTGGCACATTCGACAAATTTGAATGTGCTACATGAGAAGAAGCAGACACTCTTCCACCAATCTTAAACAACTCAGTGGAGAGAAACTGCTTGAAACTAATTGACATTGATGCAGACCCATTAGTACTACTACCACTACCATTAGCACCCAAAGAACTATCTAAATTCAAATCAAGATCATCCAACTCAACCCTCCCATCACACCATCCCTTGTAAAACCTATGAGCCCTATCAAACTCCCCCACATCCTTTAACACCTTAACAACTGTACACATAGTAACCTCATCAGGGAAGAAGCCTCTCACCCTCATGTGCCTAATCCACAAAAGCGCTTCTTGGACAAGACCCGCTTTCCCGTACACATCAACGAGCATGCTGTAGGTGTTGTTTGTGGGCAAGACGCCGTTTTTAGCCATGTCGAGCCAGCAGAGGCGCAGGAGGTCCCACTGCTGGGCCCTGCCGAGGGCTCTGAGGACCACGTTGTAGTGAATGGCATTGTGGGTGTACCACGTTTGGGACCTGAACCACTCGAAGGCCTTGGCCGCACGCTGCCACTTGGAGGACTGTTCGCGGAGGATGACGGTGATTTCTTTGGGGGAGAGGGAGGGGGCGTCGGGGAGGGACTCGAGGGCGAGGGTCACGTCCGCGGCGGTGTTGAGGGAGCGGAGGAGGGAGGGCAAAGCGCCACCGTATGGTTTTTTCTTTTTCTTTCTTTTGTTTGAGGGGAGGGGGAGGGTGTTGGAGTGGAGGGAGTGGAAAGGGGGATAGACACGTGGCGACGGGTGGAGAGGGGAGAAAGGGAGGGAGAGGAATTTGGGGAGGAAGGGGGTGGTGGTGATGGAGGTGGAGGAGGAAGAGAAGGAAGAAGAAGAGGGTTTAAGGGAGAATGAAGCTGTGAACATGGTTGTGGTCGTGGGAAAGAAAGAGGTTTAGGGGAATGGAATGGTCTTGGAACAAAAATCTCGACAATTATCGTTTATTAAATGTGACCATTAGGGTTTAGAGTTCATCTACCTCCTTTCTTCAATGTCTTCATATCTTTATAATTCTATTTTCCTTTTAATATTTTTTTCCTTAAAATTTACTATTGTCTTTTCAGTAAATATTATAAATAATATATTTTTTAAATTATTCAAATAAATTTTTTATCAATTTATTTATTCAACTATACCGGTTTTTTTATTTATGTGTAATTTTTCTTTTTTTTCTCATTTTTTCTTATTTTTTTTAATATAGATCTCTTATTTATTTTCCTTTTTCACTTATTCTCCTAATTAAATCATTATATTAAAATTTAATAAAATTATTTTAAAATCAAGATTGAAATTAAAAAATTTAACTAATTATTTAAAATTATTATTATAATAAATTATTTTATTTATTTTAATAATACATAAATTTATTTACTATAACATAAATAATTAATTTAAAATTATTTTTATCATAATAATTATTCATCTAATTAAAAAATATTAAATATTTATGAGTTAAATTTATTTTTTACCGAATAATTTAATATAGTTATATTAAATTAAGTTACGATAATTAGTTAAATTAGCTCATCTTTTAAAAATATTTGTTAAAAAATTATTTCAAAATAAATATTTAATTTTTTTTAATAATTATACCTAATAATATATTTGTAATATCTCAATTTTATTTTATAATAATTTTTCAAAAAAAAAGGAAAAAAGAAATAAAAAAAAGTAAATAAAAAAAGAAATAAAAAAGAAATATAAAAAGAGAGAAAAATAATTATATTATATGAGACGGATTTATATTCACTCTAAACTATAAACAGATCTAATTCTATAAATAAATATAAAGATATTCTGTTCAAATATTTTTTTTTCAAGTGTGTTATTTCTTTTAACATTAGTAAAATTTAGACTAAATTAAAAATGGATGATTAATTTTTCTCGTGTGTCACAAAAATTATCATTTAATTTATTATTTAATTTTCATGAAACCTTTTATTAATATATAATAACATCTAACATGAACAATCAATAAAATCCTAAAAATAATATATTTTAAAAAGAATTATTTAAATAAAATTTATATGAATTTATTTACTTAAATAGAGTTTATATATATATATATATATATATTTTTTTTTTTCATAATTTTTCATTTTTTTCTCTTTCTTTATTCACTTTTCATCTTTTTCTTTTTCTTTTATATATTTTATCTTTCTTCTACTCTCCCATTTATTATTGTAATTAAACTACTATATTAAAATTTAATAAAAATATGTTAAAACAAGTATTTTAAAAACACCATTGAAACTAAAAAATATTAACTAAATGTTTTAAATTATGATGATAATAAATAATTTTATTTATTTTGACACTAAATAATTTTATCTACGATTACGTAAATAAATAATTTAAAATTATTCTATCATAATAAATAATTATTCATCTAATTAAAAAAATATCAAATATTTATAATTTAGATGTATTTTTATTTAATATTTTAATCTAGTTACGATAATTAGGTATTTTTTAATATTTTAAAATAAATATTTTTTTCTTAATAATTATATGATAATAATAATATTTGTGACATCATAATATTTTTTTCTTATATAATATATTAAATTATAATGTTATTATTTAATTTTTTTTATTTTTCAATAATAATAAATTATTGACATTATCAAATTTTAATATATTATTTTTAATTGAAGAATAAGATGGAGTGGGAGAAAAATAAAATAAAATAAATAATAATAAATAAAAAATGAGAAAAGTGAGGAAATATAAAATAAGAATGATACATAATGAGTGAAATATAGAGTTTATAGCTGAGTTAAATGAAAGAATTTTAATATTTCACACAAACCAATTCTTATGGAGGATAAATTCCAATGTTAATATTGATGTTTCAGTATCAAAATTACTTTTATATATAACACACCTCTCACTATTAGATATATTAATTTATAAATAAGTGGATCAAGTTAATATATTTTTTATCATATGAAACTTATTAATTATTATTGAATGATTGAAAACAATTGTGACAATAAATGTGTTACTAGGTAGAAAAAGAGACTTTAGTTTATCACAAATTGAAATAATATTTTCAGAAAAGTTATAATATTTATAAATAAACATATTAAAAAAAAAAGTTAAGCACTAAAACACTTCTAAAATGAAACTACTGCATCCGTACAATACGTTTTAATTTATTTTTTTAAGTTTATTTATTGTATTGTTAATTACAGTGGTATTAGTCAATGTATTTTCCGATAAGGGTGGAGTATATAAATTAATACTTATTTTATTTTATATAAGTTTGAAATAACTAGAAGAGAGTTCAATATATAGGTTTTAGGATTTAGTGTTTAATTTATGTTAGTATGTATTAAGAAAAAATAATTTAAGAGACAAATCTTATTTAACTAATCTAAATTCTTCAAAATGATTTCTATTAAACTATTAATGAGATTTGAGAAAATAGTCAAAGATATTATGTTTTTTAGTTTTTCTTCTCCTAAAAGGAGAAGTTGGATAAAATATATTTTAAAAAAACTTAAATATTAATAAACTCAAAATTTATTAAAAAAAGTAGAAAAGTGATTAAAAAAAACTAAACGAAATAAATTTTTAAAATAAGCTGCATCTCTTTTCATTTTAAATTTATCATGTACGACCCAAAAAAAAAAAAAAAGAAACACTGCTTGGTATCGAGACACTCAAATATTAGTCTGTTTCCAACTGTTTCAGACGAATATAAAAGAAACTTTAACTGATATAGTTTACATCTGTTCAAAATAAAAGCAAAAACATGTTAGTATCTGAAATTGAAATTGAAATTCAAACAAGTGTATAATATGTAAAACTTATTTTTAGTTTTAAATAAGAATGATAAAATAGGTTAAATCCTATCAATCGCTTAAAAAAAATAAAATGGGTAGGTAAATTTAACCTTTAGTCTCTTAATTTGTTTTTGTCTGTCTCGTCTGACATGTTATTTAAATGAATCAAAGATAAAATAGGACGATTAACAGATTGTCTTACTTTAAATAAATATTTATATATTAAAATAAAAATTTTATAATTATAAATATTATAATTTTCTTGTGTTATGTTATTAAAATATATAAATATATTATAATATTATAATTTAAATTATAAAAATTAAGTAATTATAATTATAATTTTAAATTATAAAAAATTGTAATTATTTTAAATTCATCTAATAAAAATATTAATTAATAAATAAAATTGTAAAAATTATTTATATAATTATAAATATGTTTTAAAATATATATATATATATATATATAATTAAATTAAAAAAATATTGACAATTAATTTGCTAATCTATCAATTTAACTTTGAGAATAGGGACTAAGATCTTCAATCCATCTAGTATCCTACTTTTAATAAATTAAAAACGACACAGTTGAAAACACCAAAACTTGACCGGTTTCCATTCCTATGTAAAACTTGGTTTAAAAATCCATATATAACGAGACAACTAATTGGAATAACTTTTTAAGAAAGATTTGCGTTGACTACTAAATAACATGAAATAGGCTACTTTGAATGTACGAGTAATAATGAAACTCATAAAATATGCATATTCATTTGATTTATTGCTCTAAAGTAATGTAGGCTTTATTTAAATACGTATTATTAGAAAAATAATTTTCTTATAAGGATAATGTTCTGAAACTTGAGACACCCCAAACTGATCACTAACTATTTAAAAGCATAACAAGCTCAAGAGCAATAACTACTCATTTTTCTCAATCACCATACAAGAAGCTCATAAGAGAATAATAACAAGATAAAGAGAAAAAAGAAGATAGAAAAGAATATCGGGTAGAATCAAAGACTTCTTAAATTAGAAGAAACTACTATAAATTTTATATATGCAGACTTTATTTATAATTCTTTTATAGCCTCTTTTTTTTTTTCTCTTTTTTTGTCACTTATAATAAAGGTGTTTATAATAAGGGTGTTGAAATTGTGCAGAGTCCCTATTTATCCTTTTCCTTTTTAATTTTACTATGTGGAAGTTGATCATATAAGTATTACAAAATAATAACATTTAACTTTTGCTTTATAATCTTGAGTTGACATACAAATGTCTTTAATTATATTCCTATATAATTGTCTAGTACTGCAACAAAATAAGAAAGTCAATATTCAGAAACAGACATTTTATCACCTCTCGTTCTACTTCTATACAAATATATAAGCAAATTCCCTAGGCAAAATGGGAATTTTCTTGATAACTCTTGCACAATTTTCTAAACATAACCGGTATATTTGCTCCAGCTAAATTGTTAGCCATGCAATTAGAAAAAACTGTCAACAACCAAAAATTATGAACATTTTAGGTTGTCCGAAAAATGCAAGCCTTTCATTCTCTGCTTCTAACTTTCTGCTTCTTTGGTATAGGTGTTTGAGTACTGCACATGTAAGAAAATATTATTAGCATTGCCATAAATATACACATATGCTATATTTTCCTGTTTGGAATAAGCAAGATGAAAGGATAAAATGCAACCACAAGCTTCGGCAATTAGACCACAATATTGGGGAGAAAGGTACCAAAAAGTTGCTTCTTGTTTTAAAATTAACAATATACTCCTTAACATTTTATATTAGGGGCAGCGTCATTTTATTTACATGTTTTTCCCTTCTATTTTCTAAACAACCAAATAAGATAAAAGAATAGTTTTAACTTTTTTTTACCTAGAAAATCATCTCATTTTGCTTTTGTTTTCTTTCCTAAGGTGAAGGCACCCTTTAGGTGTAATGATCACATAGACAAGTTTTTGACAACATTCAATTTAATACCTATCTCCCAAACTCAAATCACTTGAAAACACAATGTATTTTCACAGACACCCACTTCAATAGTTCATACAAGGGTGGAGTCACTAATATTTGGTGAGTTCTCATATAAAGAAGCTTGGTATACCTTCTAAGAAAAGTTTGTATATCAGCACCAAGACTAGTACTGAGCTCGTCAATATCTGCATTGCTACATTTCAATAGGTTGCAAGCATCTAAGAAAGTAGATTTCACCGTATTGGAGATAAGTGATGAATCTTTTATCTCTGCCTTGAGATGTTCCATCAAAATAAATGCTGCACAGAGGTTCATTGGAAGTTAGAATAGATGTAAAGGTTAGCATTATCACTAATTCCTGATATAAAGGATGTGTTATTTTTTTAATTAAAAAGTGTAACCTCAATCACTTGAACCTTTCCTGACCAATATTATTCACATTGTATACGCGCTAAACTGCATGCGGCTGTGCTAAACTAATGCAGGGTAATGTGATTAATGAGAAGTCTCAGTTCTTCGACAGTTCATGGCAGGTGAATGCTATACCAAAAACATGTATTTTGCTTGGGAATTGGCGTTAGACATGATTTCCACAAAAGACAGTCTCCATCATAGAAATGTGCAGCAGTGAGATTCAATGTGTCCCCTATGCAGCCAATTGGAGGAAAATGTCATTATCTATCACAATAAATGTGTGCCAAATGTCTGTCAGTGGGTGGGACTAAGCTCTATTTTTCCATGTGAGGCAATAGGACAAAAGAAGCAACATAGGTTGTATTGGTTAAACAAGAAAGATGACGAAGCATGGTTAATTACGTAGGTGGCTATAATTTGGGCTGTATGATGTGGTATGGGAAGAAATTTTCCCAATGGCTTCAGCAGTCAGCATGATAGGGGATCTTAACCATTGATCGTAGAGGAACTAAATAATATATTATTAATAAATAATAAATAAATATAAAAGGAAGTAAGAAAATGAAAAAATGAAAGGATAAAATTGTAAATATATACTTAAATATATTAACTTATCATTAAGTTTCAGGAGGACAAAATCATAAATTATATGAGAGTTACAAAACTAAAGAAGGACTGAAAAGATAAAATTATAAAAAGTAAATATATTAAATGTTCATTAAATTTGGGGGGTCAAAATCATAAATTACATTAGAGCTTCCTTAACTCCCAAGAATATCTGTCACTCGTTAGCATGGTGTGGATGGTTGCAGCAACCAAAGGGCTATCGTATCCCTATTCAGATTGGTGTAACAATCCAGTAACTTGCAATATATTTTATGGGGTAGTGTCAACCTTAGGCGGGAATGAATAGGCAAGGGTGGTAGTAATGCAGAATATCCACCGAGACGGGAGGGACAGAAGGGTAATATAGAGTTATGCATACATTTAATGGGAAAGTGTGAAACGCTGAATATGCTATATTAGGAAGAAGCAGATGTAATCCATAAGAGAGAAACTATAAGTGGACAAAAGTAAAACTTGGGGTGCAACAAGGGTTAATCTGACTGTAATAGTGCAACGTTTAGAATGAAGAATGTGAAGGAATCTCTGTATTGCTATGTATAAAATGGAGACACGATACCTGGTGGTCACAGGTGCTCTAGGCAGGGGTGGGCGAAGTGTAGGGTGTCTTTCTGTATGCCTATATGGAAGAACTTGTGTTAGTTCATCGCTGCTTTTTGATTCTTAGGTAATATTGTAGCATAATTTCGTACTATTTGTACCATATACTTTACTATATACTGCAAATTATATATATAAAGAACACAGGAATAGAGACAGTATATCAACAAAATATACGTACATGACTTTTTTATTTTTGCATAATTTAGGAATAGAGAACACTTTTTTATTTTTTATTTTTGTACAAGAACTTTTGAAAAGGCATACAGCATACCAATGGCTCGAATCATTTTAAGGTTGAATTTATTAGCTAGCTCCTTACAACCTATCATTTTTGCACGCTGAATGATCAACAGTTTCAAGCTAATCAGCATATCCTGCAAAATTAATCAAATTTCAAATATAAAAAATAACTGACAAAGAAATTACTCTAAAGTGAAGGGGCACACCCAACTTCATGAAAACAAAAATAACCCAGATAAGTGGGACTGATCAAGTCTACTTTAAACTACATTTTACATATAACATGACGAAAGAGATTAAGGCTATATTACAGTCATTCTTTGATAAACGAGATATAACCAGGTCTGGTTTAAACTAGATTTGCACATAAAACATGGTTTAAGATAATACTCTATTAGAGTGCCACTCTTCAATGGACTAGATATTGCCTGACTATTCTTTTCACAGGCTCAAATTCTTCAAATAAAAAGGTTTTATTAAAGAGAATTGTTGAGATTTACTTTTTTTTTTCTTTTTTAATTCTCTTTACAAAATTTCATTATAGAGATTGTATATTATTTTATTAGAATGTGGTATAGTGGTAAAATATTTTAGTTTCCCCCAAAACCAAATTAGGTACACATAATTTGTATCTTATAACAGGTTGTACATATTTTATTTTACGTCACAGAATAAATATATTTCAGTTTATATTTTTCAAGTTAGTATCGAGAACGGTTACAATCCTTTACATTTTGAATCCGGAAAGAAAATTTAATACATCTGGAATGATATTAATACCTCCTGTTATTCAAACTCAAAAAGTTTTTAATACTCTTTTAAAAACATATTAAGATAGCATGAAAGAGATACAAATGTCGGAGTTGAGAAATGATGTCTTCATTGTCAAACATAATGAAAAAGTATTTACACTAGAAATAATTATGAATAATCCTGATAAAATTATTAATACTTTTAATGATATATAAATTATTGATACTTGAAGCTATAAATCATATGACATTTGATCCTAATACGATTGTTAAAAATAAATCATCTGTATAAAATATGTTCCTACAATAAATAAAAATAAAGCCCAAATTGTTGAGGAAAAGTCTTTAAATATTACTAGTACTTGTAAATCTTAATTTTGCCTTTGTTCATTTTTTAAATTTTAATCTTTTATCTCGTTTCTCAAATAATAACTCATTAATCTTGTGTGGTAATTTTTTTCCTAATTCTTGTATTCTTAGAGATATCAAAACAAAAAATCACTATGATATTAGGAAATAAAACTAATATTACCTAGATCTTTAAAAAAAAAAAAAAAAGAATCCCACCAAGCATCATCGATTGATAACTCTAAGAGAAAATAAAAAATCTAAAATTTGGTTATGGCATCGACCTTTGTTATGCCTCATTTTGGTATTTAAAAATATTATTTCTTACTTTATTTATAAAACATGATGTTTCTAGTTCTAATCGTGATGTTTCCAAAACTAATAAACATTTTCATTAATTTTCAAAAGGAGCCCTTAACCTTTTATGATTATCTCGTTCATTTAAAATTCAAATTTTAAGTGAATCTCGTTATTTTGTTACTTTTATTAATAATTGTACAAAAATGACTTTGTTGTGCTTGATAAAATAAAAAAAATGAAATAAGTGTATTATTTACAAATTTTCATGAAATGGCAAGAACTCAATATAATGCTAAAATTTAGGTTTTACGTAATGATAATAATGAGGAGTATAAAAATTGTGAACTTTAACCATATTTAGAAGTTAATTATGAATTAAACTAATTGTCCCATTACACCTCAACAAAATGAGGTTGATGAAAGAAAAAATTTAGAAGTTATTTGTGCTTCATTGATTGGGACACACGCCATTGTATTATTGAGGGAAGTTTATACTTCAGCAATATATTTAATAAATTGAACTCCCTCAAGTTCTACTGGTTTTAAAACTCCTTTTGAAACACTCCATGATTTAATTGTCACTCCAATTGTTCTTAATTTACCCCCTTATATATTTGGATGTATTACATTTGTTCATCTCCATAAGTATCAATGCAACAAGTTCACTCCACAGGTAATTCAATGAAACATGTTTATTCCTTAGGCTAGGTTTAAGGATTTGGGCTGAGGTTCATATCATATCCTCTCTATATTGTATCTCCTTTATCTACAAATACAATGGAACAGTATTATGTTGAACCCTAAATAAGTTTTTCAAGTTGGTATCAGAGCAGGTAAAATCCTACATTGATTTTCGGTAATCTCCGACCACCGTCTCAGTTTGGTCCGATGAAGGTGGGGTTTTGTGCAGTTCAAAGAGCACGACCCACCCCAGGCAACCACTCCTCCATCCGCGACTTCTCCAATGTAGTATGAGATTATGCTAAAATGACCCAAATCAACCGGGGTCCATATCCGCCATGGAGCATATACTTCTCCAGCACAAGTCGCTGCCATCATCCGATTGTCGTTTCGGTAGACTACCCTGATAGCAAAAGCGAATGTTCAAGGTTGGAAAGTCGCAAAGTTAGAAGACCATCTGTCCTCTTTAGCTGAAAGGGTAGAATGGGTTGCTTTCAACAAAACCCTAGCTTTAATCTTATTTGGAACAATTTTGTTTCCCTTCCATATCGACACAGTAGACCAAGCCGTCATGGACGCCTTCTTTGCCTGGGACGTAAACTCGAAGAGTCCCTTGCCTGCACTTCTTGCCGACATCTTGCTTTCGGTGGAATTCTGTCACCAAAAGCAAGGAAAAATACTTAGATGTTTCTCTTCACTACTTTTTGTGTGGGGTATCACACATTTCTACGCCTCTAGTCACATGGGGATATTCCCCGGCCTTTTGAGAAACTTCTCCAAAATCCCTCTCCAACGACGCACGACCATGGAATGGAAGGTCGAGATAGAACAATGGGACGTTAACCAATTATCTTGGGTATGCCCTTGGTTTCGACCTGGCCCAGTCCTCATCAGATGTGGGGATTATCCGAGCATACCTTTAATAGGGCTCAGGGGTTGCATAACCTATTCTCCAAGGGTGGCTATGAGACAACTCATGAGGACCTAGACTGCAATACCCCGGGAAGAGCTCAGAGGACTTTTTTTCTTCGGAGACCCATGCACTGTCGCTAACTCGCTTGTTGTAAGAAGATCATGGGAGAAACCAGTCTTCATGGGAGATAGAGAGCTAGGAAAAGCTCGAGTGGCTGCCTCTAGTGACTACGAGGAATGGAGAAGAAATAGAGGGATGTCACAACCATCTGCCTCACCTGTTGCACTTTCAAACAGTGAAGAGCTGCAAATCCAAGTCGACGCCTTGACCCGAACTATAAAAATTATGGGACCCAGATGAGGGCCCTTGAAGAAAGAGAGCAAAAATCTATCCTCACCATAGATGGTCTACAGAGGCAATGCAAGAAGAAGGATCATGAGATAGAACACCTCAAGGATCAGTGTGTTGATTCTAATGAGCAAGTTATCCGAGCATCCAAAGCTGCCAGAACAAGCTCGGATAACCAACTTCAGGAAATAACAGCCAAATCAGCACACCTTGAGGCCAAATGTGCAAAACAGGCTCAGACGATCAAGGAGTTGCTACAAGACCTCACAAGGACTCGGTCTGAAATACGCCAAGAGCGAGAGGCCAACCAGAGACTCAACAGGAGTCTCGCTGAGCTACGTTGCAAAGAAAGAGAAGGGTTAGCTCAGTATGGTCAAGTACTACGAGAAAATGACCGAACCCTTGCAAAACTCGACGAGTTACAAGCCTTGGTCGTCCATCAAGAGACGAAGATCAAAGAGGCTAAAAAATACAGCGAAGATATGAGTCAGGCAGTCCAAAAGCAAATCGAAGCACTTGCTTGTCACGTCCGGGAAGCTGAAAGAGAGTTACATAGGGATCAAGATCCACTTGTGGGTTTCTTTAGGCTTTTTCGTTTCTGTCAAAAGTTGCTTCGTAGTGTGGAATAGGGGAATGTACACTTTCTACGAGTAAATAAAACTTCTTTATCCAACAACTGTCTACTTGCATGCATATCATGCATTTGCATATTTAATTTTCCCTCCTTCACTTTTAATGAATAAGATAATAAAAAGGAAGGATTAACTAACACGTCTTCCAATCAGAAGGATGGAGAGAAAACCGCTCTTAATCAATCTCTCCCCAACGTTCGATTCACCACAAGAGGATAATAAGCCTCGGTCGTTGGTTGTCAAAGTCAATAAGGAAGATGGGGCAAAGACGTCGGTACGACTATTTATACCTCGTCCTTTCCCCTATGAACCAAATAAAGTTGTACCGTGGAGATATGAAGAATCTTCACCAATAAAGGAGGATATCTCCAATATAGCCGGCATTGGGGGCATGACCAGAAGTGGAAGAATATACTCCCCCAAGGAGTTGCAAGAGGATGTCCCCAAAAATAAAGGTAAAAATAAACAGACCGAAGAAAGAGAAAACAAGGAATCCAAGGAGGAGACCGACGAATTACTCCAGTTCATAAGGCAAAGCGAGTATTCCATTATCGACCAACTCAATCATACACCCGCAAAGATAACTCTGTTATCTCTAATGATGAGTTCGGAACTGCATAGAAACGCCCTGATGAAGGTCTTGAGCGAGGCGCATGTACCTCATAATATATCCCAAGAAAAAGTTGAGAGGATCGTCGGTCACATTACGACAAGCGATCACCTCACTTTCACAGAGGAAGAACTCCCCCTAGAGGGGTCGAGCCACAACAAGCCCTTGCACATTTCTTTCAAGTGCAAGGAGTACCTCATCACTAAAGTTCTTGTGGATAACGGGTCATCCTTGAACGTGATGTCCAAGTGCACACTCGACAAGTTGACTATTCAAGGAACCCGCTTGCGCCCAAGCAACACTATCGTTCGAGCCTTCAACTGATCCAAACGAGAAGTAGTGGGAGAAGTCAATCTGCCAATTCAAGTCAGACCCACTATCTTCAACATCGATTTTCACGTAATGGACATTACTCCAGCATATAGTTGTCTCCTCGGCAGACCTTGGATTCACGATGCTAAGGCAGTGCCTTCAACGCTCCACCAGAAAGTCAAGTTTATAGTAGATGACAAACTGGTCACGGTCCTAGCAGAAGACAATATCTTGATCAGCGGACCATCTACCCAACCTTATGTGGATGCGGCTGAAGAGGCCCTTGAAACATCTTTTCAAGCACTTGAAATTGCAAGCATAGAAAGACTTCCCAATAATACGAAGGTAGCCCGCATGATGATGAAGCATGGCTACCATCCTGGCCAAGGATTGGGGACAGATTCCCAAGGGATGAGGGAACCCCCAGAATTCAAAGATAACACTTTAAAGTTTGGCCTAGGATATGACCCTACGAAGGGCCGAGCAGAAAGAAGAAAAGGGAAGTCTCCCCTCGACACACTCAAGCAGATCTTCCAAAGCAGAGGGATACAAGTGTCGCGAGCAACCCTAGTCATTAGAAGTTCTTTTTCTTTCCTTACGGGATGTAAACCCGGTGATTGTTAGAGATTATCCCCCGGGGTTGGCCCGACCCCCCGGCATCTATTGGGCACATATTCCCTTACTAATTAATAAAGCATACATTTCTTACTATCTGCTTCTCTTCTTGCTACTTCATGTCTAGACCTCATAATAATCATGGCTAAGCAAACGAAAAAAGAGAAGAATAAAATTGCGTCCAAATAATCAAAAAGTACCATTGCCATAATAAAGCTGATTGATTAGAAACATAAAATAAGGTTTTACCTCAACATAAATAAAGTTGTGTTTCGTCAATATTGTGTAAAAAACAAAAAGAAAAGGAAAAGCCCACAGAAGCTAAAGGCCAAAAGAAAAAGGGCAAAGTACCCGGTAGGAAACCCATTAAGGGGGCTACGCAAAAGATAGGGTCAACCCGAACAAAAATAAAGGGTAGCCTAGGCAAAAGTTAGGGTTACAAAATAAGGTTCGATAGGATTCCAAAAAAAAGAAAAAAAGGAACCTAGACAAAAGATAGGACCAAAACACAATATCCTAGTCCGAAAACCCGAAGGGCGGTTTGGGGAAATCAATTAGTCATAAAAGCAGTGGAAATAAACTAAGGCGCAAATCCCCAAAGAAAAATGTTTATTTAGACAGTAGCTTAAACACTCTAGCCAACCCTAGCCAACCATTCTTACAAAATCTTTTCTAAATAAAATCAACCATCTAAAACACAAGTCATTGAATTTATCCCCTTTACTTCTTTTCTCTTGACCCTCACAACACTATTCTAACAATTAGTTTGAGAATATGGAGGCATATAATCAACAAGAGGATTGAAATCCCTAAAGTGAGGAAAAAAGGCACCGACATGGCAAAGTGTGCTCTCCAAACCAAAAGTCATTCTTCGGTCACGTTAAGTCCGGAATGACACAAACAATTACAACAGAGAAGCAAAAACATCATAGGGTCCCCATCTTTATAAGATGCACCAGTTAATCCTTCTGAAAACACTAATGAAATAGCATTATAGGGCATCAAACATGTAAACATTGCATGCATAAAATGTTTTTGAACAAGGTCCTATTTTCTTCAAAAAAAAAATTAGCTAAAAATCAAGATCGCAGTCTCAACTTCTCAGATCGTCGTCTCGACCTACTTTGAAACGAGAACGCCTTCCCGAATTTCAAGACCGCCGTCTCGCTTTGGACGAAAATGAGACCGTCTCGCCATAAGCCCAAAATGAGACCGCCGTGTCAAAGTTCCAGACAGAGGTCCCGAGTCTCGTAAAATCGAGACCGTCGTCCCGAAATCCTAGACAGCAGTCTCGACCTACAGCGAAAAATCTATAAATAGGGGGGCCTTGGGGTTAGTTTTGGGCATCCACTTCTGTATCCTCATACATACTTTTCTACATTCTTGAGTGCTTTTCATAAAAAATGCATAGAGGAGAGTCTTCTAGGAAGAGGGGTAGGGGTTCCGGCCCAAGCACATCTGCGACCCTGGCTCCTCCGGATCTTACCCAACTGACGCCCCAACACCAGGCCTGACTCGAGCACATCCGGGGCTACACCTAGCATCCCATGCTGAGGTTGGATTTTCGTATCCTCACCATGTTTGGATGGGAGGACGAGGTACGGGGGTACATCGAGAGCATCGGGTGAGACTTCCTCCTCTAGCCTCCTCCCACCCGCATGTACACACAAGCAGTAATGGAGTTCCTTGCCTCCATTATGCTAATGGAGCTACCCACCATGATCCCGGGCATCCCTCCGGTCAAGATGGTCTCCTACTTCATGAACGGGTCTTACTGGACTATGACGCTGGATGAATTCAATGTCTCCATCGGCTTCGTACAACCCGAGGATATCTTGA